GATGCCATGCCTAAGGTGGGAGACCGACAGTTCTAATGCCTAAGATGAGAAAGACTTCATGATAATTGTCTGACTCTAGAACTTAATATCACTAGAAATAAGCAATGCCTGCATGTTCCTTCCTACTGCTAAGGAGATCTGGGAAGCAGTCAGAAAGAATATTTCAAGGTTAAAGATGTGGCCCAGCGTTATGACCTGACCATCAAAAAACTTAGTATACAAAAGAAAACAGATCCGTAACAGAGTATTCTAATCTACTAAAAATCTGGTGGCAGAAATTAGACCAGTACTGCTGCTTTACTATGGACTACAATAAGGATGTAGCCTGTTTGAAACAGTTTCTGGAGATGGTCACGTATTAATTCATAGTTGGCTGCACTCCAAAATTTGATAAGATAAAAGTTCAAGTCTTGGGCAAAGAAGATTTGTCATCCCTAAGAAGTCGGTTTCCTACATGCTCCTTCAAGCTAGTTTGAAGATATTGAGCAAATCAAGTTTGGAACTCACTCTTTCTAACGTCTTATCAGGTAATGCCTTGGTGATCCGCAATTTAATGACAAGACTGAATATGCCACAAAGATAATGTTTCTGACTCCATCTTTTCGTTAACAAAGTGTTTATCAGTCCCCACATACTTAGTTCAAACATAATGAACTGGGTTCTCTGCTATATTTGTCAATTGAAATGATTTGGAAGAGAGAATTCTCATTTCACCCAATACTCTTTGTAGCTAAAATCCTTCATAGATACCATGTGCTAAAATTCTAAACTCAACTTCAGCATTACTCCTGGATACCACTGATTATTTCTTACTTCTCCAAGTAACTAAGTTTCTCTAGACTTATGTATAGTATGCAGATGTGCATCTTCTTAGTTATAGAACCAGCTCAGTTTGCATCAGTGTATATTTTAATTTTTTGACTTATATTTTTCTTGAAAAATAGTTCTTGTTCAATTGTTAGTTTTAGATACTTGAGAATTGAAACACTATCTTTATAAGTTTTTCAACTGAGTTAGTCATAAATCGACTTACCACACTAAGGTCAAAATTTATATATGGTTTGGTATGTGAGAGGTAAATCAATTTACTTACTAGACATTGGTATATTTCTTTGTTAATTGGAGCACTATCAACTTTCCTTTTAAGTTTAATAATGGGATCCATGCTGTGTCTACGTGCTTGCATCCAAGCAATCCAGTCTCCATTACAAGATTCAACACATATTTTCGTTAAGAAATTAAGATTACTTTCTTTGATCTAGCAAGATTTAGGAGGACATTTAATTAATTCTACTTTCTTTGAAACTCAAGGACCTGGGAAGACGTTCTATTAATAAAATAAGTTGCACATAGAACAACTTCTCCCCAAAAAATTTTTGGAATTTGAATTATTAACATGAGGGACAAACAACTTTCAAGAGATTTCTATTCTTCTTTTCGGCTTCCCTATTTTATTGGAGAGTACCAACACATGAACTTTGATGAACAATTGCTTCTTTTTTAATATACATACTCAATTTTTTTTAAAGTATTCTTTTGCATTGTTTGTCTTTAGCATTTGTATTTTTGTATGAAATTGAATTTGAATTATATTGTTGACTTTTTTGAATATGTGGCTAATGTATGATTTTTCTTTCATGAGGAATAGTTACGTAATTCTTGTATGATCATTTACAAAGGATATAAATCATTTAATACCGATAATATTGTTGATTCTACATGGTCTCCACGTATTACTATTTTTTTAAAATAAAAAGTATTAATTATATTAACAATTGAGTTCTCAGATATCACTATGTACCACAACAGGCAGTTTAGAGGCTTTATAGGGCAATGTGAGATATATAATACGAGTATGTTTTCACTATTGATATAATTCATAATAAAAAATTTTTTATTTTTATTTCTAAATAAAGAAGGGAACAATTTTTGAAGGTATACAAAGTTTGAGTATCCTAATAATGTCGTAATGTAATTGTACTAAAGTTGTTTAAATAAGTTGGATTGTCTGAGACCCAATACATAGTGCTTATGAGATTGTCTCTTGAAAGATCCATTATCCTTTAAGAGAAAGAGGTCAGAGTATACCTTTGCATTGCCCATCGTATCCTATAATCAAAATCTTAACATTCACATAGGTTTGAAGAAATTTAGTAATACAGTTATGATCTTAGGTAAGTTTGTTTACTGATAACAAGCTAAAATCTAGATTAAGTCCATGAAGTACTCCCTTTAAGGTTAATTTTTGTTAGATGGGGGTATCAACAATTCCAGCCACTTTTTAGTGATATCTATTCGCTATTTTTACTATGAAGTTCTCATTACATAGATTATATTCTTGGTCATATGGTCGCATGCCCCTAAGTCAATGATGCAAATATTTTGACTTCCTAAAATAATGTTAGCAGTAGTAAAGGAATTATCGTTTTGGAATTGGTGAGCTTGGTTTTCCCCTCTTAGGGCCTTCAAAGCTTGGCCCAAAACTCCTTTTCATGGATCTAACCCTTGACATAATCTTGGAAATCCCTCTTAAGTTTATTGGCCTATGTTCTTTGATACTCCATCCATAAAATCTAAATGCACCTTGAAGTGGACTCGTCATAGATTTATCTCTATACAAGCTTTGTTTAGCTTGAATTGAATCTTTTCTTATAGTTAAATGGAACAAGCTGTGACTTCCATGCTTTATAAGGCCTAAATTGTGGCCTTTTGAGCTCATGAAGCCATGAGCTTCCATGTAACTTCTCATATAGCCATGAACTCCCATTTGGTCTTCCATGTGAGTTTGAGTTATATCTTGGTCATGAGATCTCATGTAATTTAGTGTGAGTTGTCCCCCTTTGCTTGTATCAGTTGTTTCAAATCTTATGTTGTTACTAATAGAGTTTTAATATAGGAACATTTTTTGGAGGGTTTTTATCTGCTCTTTACTAAATGAGTATGATTCATTAGCGGAAATAATTTCATCAATAGAGATGTGATTTTCCTTGCTTTCTTTATCTGTGGTTGATTTTGGGGCCTTTAAATCAATTAGTTTTCAACGAATTTTTCATCATTGTCTCGAGAATGACTTAGTTTTCTACAATGATCACCCTAAGTCCTTCCCTTTCTTTACTGCTTGTGTGAGTTGGGAAATAGTCTGGGCAGCAAGGCAAAATTTTACTTAGTAGTGGGGCTTATGAATCAATCTCCCAACATTACTTTTTTTCTGCTTTGTTTTTTCTTTATTTTGGAAAAAACCTCATGAATCCTGGGTAATGGATTTATTCAGAGTATTTTTCCTTATTATTCATCTAGATTTTTATTCAATTTTATGATAAATTTTAAATTTTTTTTTTTTTTTCAGAAATTTGTTTATACCATTTTACATAATTTAGATAGCTTCACGCAAATTTCTCAAACATGTAGTACTGAGTTACAGATAGATATCCTTGTTGCAAGTCCTGGAAGCTAGATTCAACAGATAAAAATTTCTAATATGGTTTCTTCACTCCAGTAAAACTCATTAGTTGCTTCCCAAATTTTTTTTGCCCTTCCATACAATAAGAAATTCTCACCATGAGATGATTAGATTATTCTCGGCCTTCCAAGTTTAGAACTTTGGGTTGTCGGCACTCAATTGGATGACTTATTTGATGAGATATTCTTTTCTTATTCTTCTGCAAATAAACATTTTGAACGATTGAGACCATTGAATGTAGTTGTTTCTGTTTAGCTTGTGGTTGATAATCGGAATCTGAATGGTTTTTGATTTAGGTTGTTTGATGGAAATAATTTCATTAGATTGAGATGTGACTCAAGAGATGCTATTGATTTTTGTCATGATTGTTTCATATTAGTTATTGATGAGAGAGAAATTTTGTTTTTTAGGATTCAGAGGTCTTACTTTGGTACTATAAAAATTTGTGAGAAACTACGGCACATCAAGAAAAGATGTTGAGATTAAATCTTGAACCTCTAGTAAAGAGTGGGAATACAAGAATAGTTCACCAAAGTCCTAGGAATAGGAATTTATAGCGCACCCTCGAGAAGAAGAATAAGCTATAGATCTCAGTGATTTCAAGCCAAAAGTTGAGCACTTGAGAACTTTACCTGAATGTTTGGAAACACCTAAAAGTACAGGTTAGACCCACTTAGGACTAGAACTTAAGAATGATGATTGCATGTACCGAAGCTTAGAATAGATTATATTTCCTAGATGCACCTGAGACATCACGAACCACCATTTCCACCAGCTCTCTAAATAAGATATAAATCTATCTAAAAGAATAGGACACCCTTGTTTATCTATCTTTAAGATTATGTTTCCCTCTTTATTTTTTTTGACTCCAATAATGAAAACTTATACTATGATGTATGCAAATTAGCAAAACACAACTATACAATTTTTTCCTCCAATAATAGAAGAAGCAATCTTCTTTTTACATTGATTCATAATGATATTTGAGACACTTAGATATTCCTAATATTTCTGGAACTCGATGATTTGTTTCTTTTTTATTACACTAGAGTAACCTCGCTTTTTTCTTAAAATTCAAATATGAAATTAGTCATATTATTTTCTAATTTGACAATATGATAACCTAGTTCGTTGTATAAATCAAATGATTTTTAAAATACTCGTGATTACTTTAAACAAATAGTGTCTTCATTCTTTCATAGTAAGTGAATTATTTATAAATATTTCAATGTGTATATTTGATAGCAAAATAGAGTTGTAGAACGGAACAATAGTTATTTGCTTACCACTTACTATTTTTTCTTGTTTTAAAATTATGTGCGAAAACACTATTGGGGGTGGTTGTTTTAATTGACAATCACCTTATCAACTGATTACTATCACAGGTGCTAAACTTTTATAGTCCTATGGAGGTTCTAGCTACCGTTTTTTTTTTCAAAGGTATGAATCATAAATAACATCATGCCTAGAGTCTTTAGGCATGTTGCTATGTCCACGTACATCAATTTAAAATTAGAAAACTTGATCATAGGGCCATTATATGTGTCTTCCTACTGTTGCCTTTATGAAGACCAAGATTCTTTAATCAATCTTATCTTTAAGGAGAGAATATATTGGAAGATAAGGAGAACTCTTTTTTTATTTTCATATTCTTTTGCCCTTAAATACAATACTCTCTCAAATAAACATCACATCAGAAAACCAAAGATCACAAAATGCACCTAAAGATATACCACTGTACAACCAAAACTCATAGTGAACTAGAATCCCGAATTATACAAGATGCACTATTCTCTCAGGTTTACTCAAGAAGCAAAAAAACTTGGATTTCGATCCAAAGCAAGTTCAAGAATCCAAGTTAGGTGCTAGAAATGAGGTAAGCTCTAAAATTTTTTTACCTTTTCATATAAACAGATATTCATTGTACTCAAAAAAGAAACGAAGAGTGCGCTAAACATCCACTATACCTAATCTCAAATTTTTTATTATTTGAAAAGTTGTCTCCATCTCACAAACTTTCTTATGAGTTTAAATACGATGTATATTCCTACTACACTATTTAATTCTTTAACCTGTCAGGATCTATAAAACAATCAAACATAAAGAGTAGTAGACAAACCTATAAAAGTAAAAACTAGTAGGATACAAGTGAATATTCGTTATAAAGTACAAACCTGATGGGATTGTAGAGAGACACAAGGCAAGATTAGTAGTTAAAAGACATATCCAGACTTGTAATCGACTATCGGAACACCTTTCCGTCATGCGAAAATGAACACGATACATAGTCCACTAACTTTGGCTACAAACTTTAATTGATAGTTACAACAGTTTGATGTAATGAGTGCCTTCATGTATGGAAAATTAGAAGAAAAACATTACATGGAAATTCCTCTAGGGTTTATCAAAGTTGTGGCTGCAAATGAAATGTGTAAGCTAAAAGAGACACTATATGGGTTCAAGTAATCCTCCAAAGCATGGTTTGAAAGATTTACAAGACTGATGCTAGTTATGGGATACAAACAAAAGTTAGGGAGATCATACCCAATTTATTAAGCATTCAAATTTAGGGGGAGCGACAACCCTCTCAGTGTATGTGGACTATATAGTTATGACAAGTAACCTTCCTCAAGATAAAATGACCTATTTAAAAGTCGAGATATTTATCTCATGGCAGATATAAGTTAATGATCTTTTGAAGGAAACTAGCAAGCTAACATGCAAATTTATTGGCACTCAATTGATCTGATCACAAATTGGGATTGACGAAACAAAACTTTGATCTTAATATGGAAATGGGCCAAAGACTGATTGGAAGACTAATATATCTGTCACATACCAAATCAGATATCACCACATGCATAAAGCCCAAGAAAATATATTTGCAAGCTGCGTATTTAGTATTCCACTATTTAAATGGTACACCAGAGAAAGGTATTGTATTTAAAAGAAATAATAGGTTACTCATTGAAGCATATATTGATGCAAATTATGCAGGATCATTAGTTGACAGAGGATTTGCCACAAGTTACTATCTGTTTCATGGAGAAGTAAGAAATATGATGTGGTAGTCCGATGTAGTGTAGAGTTCGAACTTTGGGCAATGGCTCAAACAATGAGTAAAGTCCTATGGTTGAAAATGATGAATAGAAGATTGAAAATTGAATAGGATGCCTAGGAAAGTTTACTATGATAACAAATCAGAAATTAGTATCGCGCACAATCCGGTACAACGCGACAAAACCAAAGATATTGAAATTGACGAACACTTTATCAAGGAGAAACTTGATAGTAGTGTGATATGTATTTCATACATGCCCATCACCTCACAACTCGTCGATGTGTTAATTAAAGGATTGAGTAACCCTGGATTTCAAACAATAATTGTCAAGTTAGGAATGGACTATATCTATTTAGCAGTTTGAGTGGGAATTTTGGAAAGTGTACACTACATGTAACAAGGGTAAATAATATAATAGTAATCTATCTTCTTATGTAACTAACTGTATTTCCTTCTCATAGACATATGAAACTGTATATATAAGATCCTAATATTCAATGAAGAATATAATATTCTATTCTTCAATAGTATCTTTAAAGTTCAAAGACCATAAACTTCTCTTGATATTAATTAATGAGAGAGAGAGGAAGAAAGTTTTCTGTTGTATATTTCATATGAATCTTTGCACATAATAGTAGTAATCTATACACAGAAAAAGCTTTATATGGTTACAGAGATATTACACAATTAATTGGAAATATCCAAATCTTAATGTGAGATATTGACGACATAAATGAAAATGGGTGATTCTTGAGTTATGGCAAATTTTCGTAGAATTGATGTAGTCAACGAATATAAAAAAGCATGAAAACCAGAAACTTGAGGGATTGGTTCATCTCAAACTTTTCTTTTCTTATTTTCTTTCACATTAAAAGACAAGAAAAAGTTCTGATTGATGGATGGTTAATAGGATGATACCAAACAAAAGTCAAATTATTTTAAATGCTGTGTTTTTTCAAAAATAAATTTATTAGATTCTTGGCATGTTTTTTGTTTGGCAACTACATCACATATTTCCTGCTTTTGGAACTTTTTGTAGTGTGAATTTGTTCGAGAAAAGTTATTTCAATTGATTGCATTAAGTTTAGTTTTTCTGAATGTGCAACAAGTGACTGGGATACTTTCTCATATACTCTGTTTCTTCTTCTCTGCCTCTTTTTCTTTCCAGGCATTTACTCAAATGCGCCTATCTGAAGCTTCAGCACATCTTGGTTCCTTCTCTGCCAGGATTAGAGATGAACCAACACATTTGCACGTACATGTAGGAAGAGAAAGTCATGTTGGAACATCATGGATTAGTTCTATCGCCATAAAAGCTGCTGATGCTATGCTTTCAACTTGTCCATCTCCTTATGAAAAACGATGTCTGCTACAACTTCTTGCTGCTACTGACTTTGGTGATGGAGGATCGGCTGCAACATATTATCGACGGGTATATTGGAAAATAAATTTGGCGGAGCCTTTGTTGCGCAAGGATGATGATCTCCATCTTGGAAATGAAACTCTGGATGATGATGCTTCACTTTTGACAGCATTAATAAAGAGCAGGCAGTGGGAGCAAGCACGCAACTGGGCTAGACAGTTAGAAACTAGTGGTTCACCTTGGAAGTCAATTGTTCATCATGTCACTGAAACTCAGGTACTGCTTTAACATTCCATGTTGAATATTGATACAATTCCTAATTTTTGGGGGCACCAACATCATGATGCCATCTTAATCATTTTTCTTCCCTCTTATTAGTAATTAGTTTAAAGGTTCTCTGGGGAGTGAAGGTTCTCTGAAATACTACCTAATTTTTTTCTGAAACATTCCTACCCAAAATATAAATGTACTCCTAATAGTGGTTCTTATAGCGCATACCCTATTGCTGTTGACTTCAGTGCTGTTCCATGTGGAAATAATAATACATAAATGATGTAAACACAGTGACCAGCATTAGAAATAATAATACTTAAATGACTAAAACCAATGACTAGCATAATATACTGAAATAAAGCCAAGCCAAAGTACAGCAAATGACCAAGAACCACAAAAGTTAGTGAGATACCTCTAGGATTGAGAAGTAAGATTAACCCCGGGAGCAATTTTCTAATCCTACTAATCTAAACTGTTATACTGGGGTGAGATCAGGAATCTCAGAATTACTATAGTATGGTGAGATATAGGATAATTTTCTAATGATGTATCCCAAATTACTCGCATGCATTTATGTTAGAACTTTGGCTATCTTAATCTTGTCCTTCTTGCATTAATGTTTATATGCAATTCTTGGTAAGCATCAGAATGTAGTCTATCCCTCCTATTGCTAAGCCTAGTGACTTCTCAATCTCCTGAAACGTGCATGTTGAGGAGAGTGGCACCTTTGCCTTATTAAGTACATTCTAATTAGTTTAATAGGGAAGTTTTTCTTGAGAATTCTTAGTTGCAGTTGGAAGGGCCAACTCTATTAATTGTTTGCCTTTTAACCTGACATTATCTCTTTTGGCAAAGAACCCATTAAGTACACCGACCAACCAGAAAAGTTCAGTCGCATGTTGTAGACAAAAATAACATGAAGAAAACCGGAAATGCCAACTTGAAGTTTCTGACTAAGATCTTTGAATAAAATGAATGAGGCTCTACAAGGGAAGTGGTTGTGAAAGATTTTTAAGGGAGGAAGAAAGACTATGGAGAAAACTTGTGAACGCTAGATGGGATCATTACATGTCAAAAAAGGAAATTAATAGAATCCATATCCTTCATGGGAGAGGTTTGTGGAGGAAAATTGTGAGGCAATGGCCTAGTTTCCAACAATGCATTAAATGGAATCTAGGCAAAGGTAACAAAATTAGTTTTTGGGAGGATGACCGGACAGAAGTGGGCTGCCTTATGCGCAAATTCCCCAGGATTTACAATCTGGCACAAACTAAGAAAAGGACTGTTGAGGAGGCGTACCAAATTAATAGAGAGAAAGTTGAATGGACAGTTAACATCACCTGGAACTTGAATGACTGGGAAATCAGTGAGTATGAAGAACTATTGAGGATTTTGGATTCACAGCAATTGAAGGCAGCTGCAGACCAGTTTGTGTGGAAACTGGAAAAGAAAGGGGTCTTTTCTGTGAGCTCCTTTTACAGATTCCTGAATGAAAAGGATGATTTTACTTGTTTGAAATTCCTAGCTGTTCAAATATGAAAAATAAAAGCTCCTTCACGCATTACTTTTTTTTGCTTTGGAAGCAAGTTTGGAGAAAATCTTAACTATTGATAAATTTAGAGCTAGAGGTTGAATTTTGGTCAATGGCTGTTACTGCTATCTGCAGGTCGAATTCTGTTCAATGGCACCAAGATCCGGCTCTTTTTTGGCGTTTTGCACGCGATCCAGCTGCGTGCATTCGGCCGATCTTCTGTTTCATGCCTTCCGCCGCATCGTCCCGGCTGTTACGCGCCTTGAGTTGACTCGTCTGGATGTCTCGCGCGCCACCCTGCTTTGTCCACGCACTGACTTGCACTGCATTATCGGATAGATGTCTTCCGCACGCTATTTCAGTTTTTCGCGTACGAGGACATTCGAGTTTGCCATTATGCACGCTAGGCCTACCCGTTCTAGTCATTCTGCGCCTGAGTCGAGCTATGCGTGTCCGAGCCGCTACCGAGTTGAACCAGATCTGATTCATTATTTTTTGTAATTTTTTTTATTTTTGGTCCTTTTTGGCTCCTTTGGTGCAGCTTAGGAATTTCGTCTTTCCTTACTGGGTATTGTTTTCATTATTTTGAACATTATAAAATTATAAAAGCAAAAAAGGTGAGTATTATTAATTTCGATAACTCTTCATTACAAATCAATCTCGTAAAACTTAATGGAATTAATTATCTTGCATGTTCGAGATCTTATTTATTATTCATCAAATATAGAGGATTGTAAGGTTAAATTAATAGTGAGGTGAAGAAATTAAATGTTGATAGTTTAGAATATAGTAAATGGGAGTTTGAGTACTCATTCGTAATGTCATGGCTAATTAATTTCATGTAATTCACATAGTCAAAACATATATGTTCTTTAACATTGTCGAAAAGATGTATATTGTATCGTCTTTTATGTATTCACAGATGGGTAATGACGCCCAAATTTATGAACTCCAAAATTAAGTTCATGATACAAAGAAAGGAAAAATAACTATTTCTTAATATTATCTGAATTGAATGGATTATGGCAGAAGTTAGATTACTATCAAGATTTTCAAGTTCAAGCAGATTGTTATACAGATGCATTCAAATTTCAGAAACTGATAAAAAGAGAGCGGATTTATGATTTCTTAGCTAGTCTGAACACCTTATATGATCAAATATGGGATCAAGCGTTTGTTAAAGATTCTTTTTTCTCATCAGAACAAACTTATACTTGTGTGCAGAAAGAAAAAAGTAGAAAAAATGTCATGCTTCACATTACAGCAGATGAGAAGGCTTGATTAGCTGCTCAATGTGATCAATCCAGATATATACGGAAGTGTGACTATTGTGGTAAACCAAAACACGCTTGGGAAACTTGTTGGAAGTTGCATGGAAGACCAATTAGAGGTCGGGGAGGAAGAAGAAGTAAAACCGCAAGAGCTCAAGTAAATTTTGTTGAAATCAGAGAAGCACCTGGCTTACCATCCGATGGAGCCTTTTCCACATAAGAAAATAAGGTATTGCGAAGCATCTTCTGAATCTTCAGTTGGCACATCAAATATGGTAAAATCAGATATTGCTCATTTCTATCCTATTTCTACTCCTCATTATTGGATTATAGACTCTAAAACTAATAGACACATGACAGACTCTTGTAAAGAATTCTTAACCTATTCTTTTTGTACTGAAGGGGACAATGTCTATATAGCAGATGGGTCATACACCTCCATGTCGAGAACATGCTCCATTAATTGTATTTTTGCTAGTACACTATTTTCAGTTTTACATGTACCAAATTTTTGTGACAATCTTTTATCTATTAGTGCCATAATTAGGTATCTCAACTGTAAAATTAAAATTTTTTTCTTATTATTATATCTTTCAGAATCTTTAAATCGGGAAGATGATTGGCATTGGTAGACTGCAAGATGATTTATATGGTCTTGAATAGATATTAGAACCTAATTGGGAATCAAGTCACCATTGAGAATAAAGAAGTCAATATGGAGATATTATAATGACACTGACGATTGGGGCATCTTTTCTTTTTTATTTTAAAAAAATTATATTTTATTTTATTTAAAAGAACTATTA